GATCCCATCAACCTGGAGCTGAAGGCGGAGAGCTTTGTTATGTAGAGTAGACTTGCTCCGGCTTTCAATGGCCCATTGACAAAGGTGGGGGCTATTAAAAGTGAGTCTGCTTCCTGCCTAAAAACATGTTTCTCCATTTCTGATCCAGGGAAATATAATATTCTGCCTTTTCAATATTTCCCAGGATATTTCAATTTTTCTAGGAGAGGGGTGGCTTTTAACTTCCTACACCTCTGAAATTTGGTAGCAATTTGCTAATGGACAGAATCATACTCTGGTTTAATGAAAAATAATCAATCATTAACTTTCCCCAAAGCTTCATGAACTTACTTGGCTGGCCATTCCATCACTCCCAGCCTATACCAAGCTTAACTCTACTCTCCAATGGGATCACTGCCTTATTGTCTGCCTTGTTGGAGATTAGAAATCCTGGTTTTTAAGAAGTTTAGCCTCTGGCCTCAAAACAAGGTGGTTATTCCTGGTTTAGAGATTAAAATTAATGTTCAAGCTATGATCAATGACTGCCCTGAGTCCAACCAATCTTGGCCAGGTTGCCAAATATTATTATTTCTTCAGGATAAACATTCTAGATAAGCTTGGATAACCAGCTAGTTATGTAAGCATAAGCAAGAGAAAATTTATATTCAACAATGGCTCTTTTTTAAAAAAATAATAATAATTTGTAATTTCAATATTTGTATAGTTAGTTTTGTTATTGTGTGTACATATTTGAAGTTTAACAAATGTAACCTCAAGGCAACTGTTGATGCATGCCCATCCTGTGACTTGGGCATAGCATCAAAATTGTTTAGCGTTGTTTCTAGAACAACTGCTTGCCGAGAATTGCCAAGAGTCTGGCATTTCTCACTATATGGACAGTGCTGATTTATCTGGCTCAATTTTGTTTGAAGGGTTATTGTTAGGATGCTGGTTTTCTTCCCCTTTTGTCAAGGATCTTATATTTGATAAATAGTTTTATCAATCAACCATCAAAGTTCAACAGCATCTAGGAAAAAATTTCAGTTGTTTGCTAAATTTGCAGTCAACCATTCAGGATTCAGAGCCCCACCAACTACGCCAGTGATGCTGCCTGTACACAGAACTTCTGACACTTTTGTGGTATTGACTGAGTCAGCCTTTGAGTGGTGCTAAAACTGGGGGTGGGGAGACTTCCAGCTGTTGCTGAACTATAATTCCTACCATCCCTCATCATTTACTAGAATGTCTTTCTACAGTGTCCTACCTACNAAAAGGGAAGCGGCCAGAAGCTTGATCACGAAATAATAAAAACAGCCCAGAATCAATGACTACAGGACTGCAAAGATTTTTCCTGTCTTTTCTCCCTTGTCTGGGTTTTCATTGTTATAAACATTGATACCTCCAAATCAGGAATATGTAGACATGTGTGTCCTGTGAAACATCCTAGAGAGCTACCTCTTTTTTTTAACAAAGATCTGCCATTTGTTTAAGGAATTAATTTGGTCCAAAGTGGATGAACAAAACATCTGCAAGTGTGTATTAAGTAGCTCCAGGAAAAAGAGATGTCAGGTGCCAAGCTAGAGATCCCAGGTGGCGGGGGTTTGAAATATCTAAAGCAACTAAAAAGGAGACTTTGCACCCTATTGCCCCGTCTTCACAGTTGGTAAAATCTTACTTGTTAGAACAAATAGGAAGAAAGAAATCGTTATCAATGAGCAAGTCAGACAGAACAGGAATAAAGGTGTAGTGCCCTCTTTTTATATAACTATTTCTGGCTTTAAAATAAAGCAAGGTCTCAGGGTTGAAAACAGGGCAACTTCACTTTGCATCATATCTTTTAAGTTTTTGGGGCACAACCTTCTAAATGGCGATTTAAAAATCAGCACATGTAGAATGGAAACCAAGCTCAGCAAAATGCCAGTTTAGCATTTGCCTAGAACCCAGGGTGGATATACGCTGTGCAATTACTTAGTTGATGGACCACAATGGAATACTTTAATCTCCGTAAAGCTGTTCACAGGAGGATGCAGAAGGAAAAGGATGTAGCTCTCCATCTACAGTTATCAGCAAAAGAAAGTTGAAGCTTCTCATATTGATTTTCTGCCTTTAATTTGGCTGCTAAGGACCCAGGAGTCCTGCTGGCAACAGAGAAGCAATACTGTTTATTGCAAGACAAGAAAAATTAAAGAGAAGCTTGACTTTCAGTGTCTTATTCATTCCTCCCAGCAGCTTGCCCAAGTGAGGATGATTATATTTATCTATTTTTTTNACAGGCACATCATCACCACTTGTGATCTTCACTGCCAACTTCCAATAAGTCAAGTCAATGAGGAAACCAGCCACCACCTGATGTTGTGTTTAATGACTACACATGATTCATTAACAACCACAAACTGAACTGTCATTGTACACTGAAGATTGCATTTAATTTCATTGTACAAGATGCAATGACAATAATGTAAACTAGAGGGATGGATGGATGGATGGATCGACAGATAGACGAGAGAGAGGAGGGATAGAGAGGAAAGGAGGGAGAGAGATTTTGATGGAAAGACAGAACTGAGGTAGCAATTTATTGAAGATAGTTGATTGTAAACCCTAGATTATATTTCCCCCACAAACCATGCAGATGTTAAATAGTATCTCTCTGTTATTGGCCACAGATATGTGAACAGAATCCCAACACTAGCTTCAAGTGCCTTTGTGCCAAAAAAAAAACAGTATTTTGTTCTCTCATTAAAATTGTTGCATAATTGGGTTTTTTAATTAATAATTGTGGTTTGCATTTGTTGGTGAAAGCATTCAATATAGAAATTATGTTCTTCCTTTCCTATGCTTCATCTGCATGTAATTTAATCACTCTACACATCTGTGTGTGTATGTGTTGATACAAGTAATCCTCGACTTATGACCACAATTGAGCCCAGAAATTATGTTGTTAAGTGAAAAAAATTGTTAACTGAGTTTTGTCACATTGAATCACTGCAGTTGTTACATTAGTAACACGGTTATTAAGTGAATCTGGCTTCCCCATTGACTCTGCTTGTCAGAAGTTCTCAAAAGAAGATCACACGACCCCAGGACACTGCAACCATCATAAATATCAACCAGTTGTCAAGCATTTGAATGTAAATTGCATGACCCACAGGGATGCTGCAACGGTCATCAGTGTGAAAAATGGTCATGTCACTTTTTGTAGTGTCGGTGTAACTTTGAATGGTCAGTAAATGAACTGTTGTAAGTCGAAGACTACCTGTCTATGTATGAAATAGAAGAAAGTGCAAACTGCCTCAGACAGCAAAAACTCTTGAGTCAGTCCTGCATGTGTCATGTGTTATAAACTTCTACCAATCTTAGATTGGTGCAAATCACTTCATAGCACTAGACCTCCCAGTTTCAGAATTCAATCTAAAACTCCTGTCTCTCGGGGTGGATTCCAGCTGTTTCCACTGACGGGTCTCTCAGGGAGGCGCCATGTGCACAGGCACACTTGATGTGCACTATATACGCTTCCCCAGTACTGAAAAAAATGGCTTCTACAGATGAGCAGAAGCAAAAAACAAGATGGTGGTGCCGGTTCGGGGGCGTGGCAGGCCGAGTTGCTGCCTACTCAGCCGAACCAGTCCGAACCGGTAGGAACCCACCTCTGCTGCCTATAGGTAGAATCTAAAATGTGACGAAAGGGGACCTGTCTATCCTCACCAGGGGACCACTGATGCACTACTTACCACTGCAGTAAAAGAGTGGAATGGCCTGTCAATTCGCCCTTCCTTCAGAGGGAGCTGCAAGAAAGAGCACTGTTAGAATCACTTTAAAAAGTTACTACAGGACACATAAAGCCTTTGGCTTGCATGGCTTACTAGAGATTGTGGTGCGTTGGAGGTTAGAGTATTTCACAATCCCGGAGAGCGAGTGCATTGTTAACATTTCCTTCTTTGCCTCTTCCTACCATCACTGGTCTTGTGTTCTTGCTCAAAGCATACAGGGCACATGTTAACTGATATTTTTATTTTAGCTTGCACATGCAAAAAAATGCGGAGATTTTTGTGGTTAGGATGTTTTCATGAGTGAGACAGTGACTGCCAGTTTGGAAAAATACTTTGTCCCTTCTTTGCTTTCTCCCTTTCATGTTATTTTGCTTGGGCTGCTACTCTTCCTGAATAATTCACCTGCCTCTCTCTTGGGGAGAGATATTACCGATAAGGATACAAAATACAAAACTCCAAAGCATCAGCAAGCAACTTCACGTTTCTAAACACTGATAAGCATGTAGAGGAGAGAATCTGGAAGGTAACCTTGAATTCGCTTGCCTCAGGTTTTTCAGCTGCTGTTGAAATATGTCAGAACTCCCCCCAACATCTAAGCAATGTTTTGATTAAGGCCTGACTTACTTCTCTTCCCTAATGAACTTTACTCTGATGTGAGAGGGATTTCAATCCCTTCCATCTAAGCAAGCACGCTTAAGAATGAAAATGTATCTAAAATTTTAATTCTTCTGTACAATTGCTGGATTTAGTTCCAGGGTGTGGAACAGGTTTACCAACCGAGGATCAAAGAAAGCTGAGGGGTTCATCAGCTAACTAGGGATGATGAGAGATGTTGTCTAACCCACTTAACGTGAGTTCTGAAACAGACATGGAGCCTGATTCAATAGTGCATGGAAAACTGGAACAATTTAACAATCTATGGAGATTCTCAGTCATCCAGGTCATGGTTGTCCCAAAGGTGTTTTTTTTCCCCAAAAGGCAACTAAACTTTGTTTTTTTCTTGAAGATGTTTTGTTTCTCATCCAAGAAGAGGAAAAGACAAAGTCCAGTTGTCTTTTTTTTGGGGGGGAAGCATCTTTGGGACAACTTAACCAATCTGAATGAAAAATGGAAGCAGAATCAAAATGAACAAGCCCGAATGATTAAAATCTCCATTAAATCAGGACAAGTGGTTGACTGCAGAGCAATAGAGAAAACCTCAATCCATTATTACCATGTATTGATTGCCTGGATTTTTTTTTTGCAGGCCAGATTTGATGGGTAATGGTGATAGATATCCTTCTTAGAATAAAACTGCCTATGTTCAGTAGATTCAAGTTCTAATTCCAGTACTACGTGCCCTATATAGCAGGGGACTCCAACCTTGGCAAATGTAAGACTTGTGGACTTCAGCTCCCAGAGTTCCTCAGCCAGCAAAGTTGCCAAGATTGGAAACCCCCGCTATATAGTAACAGATATAGAATGGGCAAGACCAATCAATAGGGATATAAGAAAAATATCTTATACCAAGAACAGAAAATATTCACGCCTGATTTCATAGGTGGTTAGTCACAATGATGAAAATGTGATGACACACTAGTGACATCATAACAAATACCACTCTTTCATACTTGCATTCCAACATCAGACCCAAATATATCCAATATAGGACTTGCATTGTAACGCCTGACTCATCCTGAGCCTGTCTCTGATTTCTCAATGAACTCCTCCACATTCCAAACTCAGCTGCTGACCACCATGTATTTCCTTGGCGTGCTTCTGCTCATTAGAAAGATCTTACATGTATACATTACTCACAACTTCTGATTTGTGGGCAAACATTCCACCAGCCACAAGCTGAGTGTACCTCTGTCTACTATGGCCATGTTCACATTCTCCATAAATACGATAAATAAATTGTAACTGGTTTGTGGTTATTTCAGTTGACCAAAAAGACACCTAATCCAATCAGTGCTTCTTCTGGCTGACCAGTTGGAAAATATGAAGAATGGAGTTTGGTCAATAGCCCATCTCTTGAGCCATTGTAGGTTCCATTTTAACAAAAAGTTCTTTCACCCCCATTGAGTGTAAAAAAAAGGAGTAAATGTCTATGTTCCTGCAATGCAGGAAAAAAGAAACATCCAACCTGTCTTATTACCATTCCTTTACTGCATTTAAAAATTTCCAAAGATAAAAAAGTGACTTATTAGAACACAGGGTTTGGAGAGGGGATATATTGCTTATGAACCATGGTGGCTCAGTGGTTTAGAGTGCAGTACTCCAGGCTACTTCTGCTAACTGCCGGCTGCCTGCAATTTGGCAGACCGAATCTCCCCAGGCTCAAGCCTTCCATCCTTCCGAGGTGGGTAAAATGAGGACCCACCTCTGTAAACCGCTGACTCTGTAAACCGCTTAGGGAGGGCTGTAAAGCACTGTAAAGCGGTATATAACTTTAAGTGCTATTATCAGTACAGAAAAACTCTGGCATTGTAAAAAAAAATGTGCCCATTTTGTCCCATTTGCAGGAAAATCTTGAGGAATGAGAAAATAAAAAAGAGGCTTGCCAAAAGTATGAAATTTTACATTTCTGAGGATGAACCTGAACAGGTACCAGGTCTTTCTGTGGAGATGCCCTATCTTTCCCAAGGCTGAGAAGTGGCTAAATTGGCACCTCTGTAATCAAGAAGGTAAGTTTGTGGCACTTCAAGATTTCTAGAAGTGCTCTGCTGCTCATATGTTTGGAAATCTTCCTCCAAAGAGGGAGAGGAACAGAACACTGGTGGATAAGTCCATTGAAGCACACATGTCATTTTCTCTCTCTCTCTCCCCAGTGTGAAATTCTCTCTTATTGATGCACATTCAACCTTTAGGAGGCCCTGAATAACCCTGCAGCATTAGGGGTTTGTTCTGCAAAAGTTAAACATGATCTCTACTGGGCTCTGCTGTTGGGTCACTTAATTGTATGCAGGTTTCAAAATATCCCTCAGAGGCATTCTGCTGAACCTATTGTAACACATGCAGATGTTTATTACTTCCAGCATTGACTCTGCAGTCTCTTAAACTCGAGCCTCTCCATCTGAGCTCTCTAATCCCCTTTTAAACAATATGAGCAGGCTGCAAAATCTCTTCACATATGTGTCTAAGTGTGTGTGCTTAATCTTTCCTGTTTTCTTGATCTCTTATAAAAATAGCAATTTCCTAACAAACTTGACACGTCTACTTCTTGCACCTAGAGAAACTGATTGAACAGCTGGCCCGTTTAAAGAAAAGATCAAGTACGACATTCATTCAACTCCTCCAGTTCCCCCACTCAAAAAAAATAATCATGTGAATCTTTGTTATTTATTTTCAAAGATAAACTTGGTTTGGAATGAGTTCTAGATGAAGGTTTAATCTATTCTTGTTTATTCATAAAAGCATGTGTCCATGCACTGCCCATGTGTATTTTATGTAAAAAATGGGAGCACCCTTCCTTTGGGTGGCTTTTCCCCACTTGACCAAAGCTACAATTGGACTGAAAGATTTGGAACACATATTAAGGCAGCCATACTTTTGAACATTTTGATAACTAATATCTGCTTGCATCTAAAGTATATTTGTATGCTTGTGATCCATCAATGCCTGTTTTCTCATTCTAGCTTCCTGTCCCTCTTTCGGTACTAAGCTTAGTGCATTACACATCCTTTACAAATATTAGTGAAGCCTAAATATGTTTTGTGGTACATTAATAGTTCTAAATGAAATGTAATGTAAACATTTTGGAAAACAAGGGCCACCAATCTTCCTGGTTTTTATATTTTCACAACCTGTTTTGAACTATTCACCCTTCATTTGACCATTTTCCTACATGTTACGAAAGATTCATCATTATGTTCTCCCTAATCCCAGCAATATTATTATGCTATTGCCTTAGTCTGATCCCCTTGCTCATCTAAAGCAAGTAAAAGCCATGTATCTGTTTCTTCTGGTTTTGGTCATGGATTATGATCTAATGTGCTTTGATAGCAATGTGGTTACTGAGATGATCTTGGAAGAGATTTTATTGGCATCTTTGGGGTTTTATAGATACACCTTTCTCCTCTGGCATTCCTTCTTTGGAGGCTTAAGTTGTGGGGAAAAAGCAGGTGCCTGATTTTCACAGAGTACGTAATAGCAATAGCACTTAGACCTATATACTGCTTCACAGTGCTTTACAGCCCTCTCTAAGTGATTTACAGAGTCAGCATATTGCCCCCAACAAACCCTTGTAATGCCTTACTGGTGGTTTCTTCAGCTTTTTTCAAGCATTCTGTGGACATGCCAGACACACATATTTAGTTGTCTTTTGAAAAAAAACATCAAACCTATGTTTAAAAGTAGGTTTAAACACAGATCAGTGTAGCACTGAAGATTGAATTAAGTCAAGAAAGAGTCATATTTTGTCAGATGTACCTTGCTGGTCCTGTCACCAATGAATTATAAGTTATTTGCCTCCTCTGGAAACAAAGGGATTTAACCATACTTTTAAACCATTTTTACTGCTTAGATGGGTTAGATGCATTGCTTTGACACTATTTCATGGTAGTGCAGCTATAATCACTCACTGAGCACAATTACACTTTTGAAGCATTGTAGAGCTTTCTTGTTGCTTTCATGTCTGTTTCATCTTGTACTCTTCTTCTACACCTATGTCATGTCAGTGAGGTCATTTTGGGACACAGAGTGAATGCTCTTATAGAAGAGTTCTAGACCTCTGTTTTGAAATAGCCTGAATAGTCATAGGTACAGAGCACAACAGTAAGCCAGGTAGTATGACAAGTAGCTAACCATACAGGAACAAACACCCACTTACATGAACTCATCCCACTGCATCTTAGGGAGGTTGAATGGTGGTTGTTTTCAAACTGACAGATTATGCTTGGCTTGGGGCAGTGGTGGGTTTCAAATTTTTTCCAAACCTACTCTGTGGGTGTGGCCTCCTTTGTGGGAGTGGCTTGCTGGCCATGTGACCTGGTGGGAGTGGCTTGCCGGCCATGTGTTTTCTCTCTCTCTCNCTATTAAGAGTGAGTCTGTTTCCTGCCTAAAAAC